CTGGTCATTTGAGAGATGCAGATGAAAACAACACTGAGATTCCACCTCACCCCAGAAAGAATGGCTGCTATCAAGAAATCATCCAATCACAAATGCTGGCGGGGGTGTGGGGAGAAAGGAACCCTTCTCCAAAACAGAGTTCTTGCCATGGATGAAAGATGAGGAAATGGAGAAGGGCAGAGGCTCCCGGTAGAGAACAGGAGAACCCCTAAGCATTTCCCCAAGGCACCAGCTTGCTCCTGGAGGGTGCTGCCCACACAGCTGAGGTAGCCTGGGCTCCGTGCTCGAAGGTGCCCCCCCACCACCATCATTTGCTGAGAGCAGCCGAGGCGGAGCAGCTGTGCCCTTGGGAGCTCTGGAGAGAGGGGATGGGGCTGAGATATCTCTGACTTGCTAAGAGATGGAAAACCATTCTGCACCCTAAGGAACAGGAAGAAGGTGGAGGTGGAGGCGAAGGCACAGAAGGAAGAGACTACTTCTGCCCCGAGGTGAGCTGATGTTTCTGAAAAGTGAAGTCACTGCTTGGGATGGACCAGAGGTGACCGAGCGTGCTTTTGTTTGTAGTGCTTACATACTGTGTGCCTACTAGTTAAAGAAATGCCACTTATGAGTTAAGGTAAAACTATTCTCTTCATCTCCCCAACAAGGAAACTGAGGCACAGAGTCCAGGAAAGTGGCCAGACGGAGGATTCCAATAGGGGAAGCTGCGTCTGGACCCTCTCCCAGACCCCCCCCCAGGTACCGGCGCCTGGCCCTGCCTTGCCCTGCACGGACCGGACCGGGTCTTTTCCAGCACTCGGATGTTCACTCTGAGACCCAGATGGCCAGAGTCGTTCTGGAACAGAACGTGGAGTGTGAGCCATCTCTAGAATGCACTAGAGCTCATAGAGGCTTTGTGAGCATGTCCCTCCCAGATGGAGACAACATGCTGACCCCTGCTTGAGCTCCCTGCAGGAAGGGTGACTGGCTCATCCACCCCATCAGCCACAAGGGCCATCCAAACATGTGGCCCCTTCTAGGACTGGTTCACCTAAGCATCGTGATGGATTAGCCAGAAGCTTGCAAGTTCTGGATGGGAAGAATCCTGCCCGCTGCGCACTGTGACAAGAAAGGAAGGCGCTGGGCCAGCTGCAGGGAGGCCAGAAAGGCTGCCAGGGCCTGGCTGGCTGTGCAGATGCACAAGCCCCTGATCAGCGACTCAGCAGAGAGCCTCAGAGCTCCGCATCTGGCCAGGACATGCAGACCTCGGCCAGCGTCCCTGCCTTGTCTCTGCTTGCCAGGTTACAAACATGTAAGAGGAAGGGTGTTCTCAAACAACTCTGTTTTGTGGCAAATAAGATCAAAAGGGCAGAGAATCAGGAAATAGTCGCAACCATTGTTTTTAATAAGCACTTACTACATACAAGGCATTGTGTAAACAGGATCTCAACTTCTCATAACAGGCCATGGGGTAGATATCTCCTTCACTGTACGGATGAGAAAAATGAGGCTCAGGTTTAAGAAACTGTTTGAAGTCAGGCAGTAAGCGGCCAGGCCAAGATGTCACACGAAAGCGTATCACTTGCCCGCTGAGCCAAGCTTCTAGGCAAGCCTATGGCTCCAAACAACAGCTGCCCTGAGGGCGTGTGGCTGCTAGCAGTTTGCTCCGGACCATTGTAGCTCTGCCACCACACTCGGGCCTGCATTCACGGCTTCATGGGGTCTGCCAGTGAGTGCACTGTCCCAGGGCTAGGGCTCTGATGACGGATTGGGAAGGAGAAAGTGTCCCCCAGGGGGGTCCCAGGCTCCCAGCTGGGCTGGGAAGGTTGTGGAACACATTCACTAGCCAGCCTCTGCTCCTTTGCTCTGTGTCAGTCCAAAACTTGTGTGCAACTTCCGAGATTTGTGTCCAGTAAGCCCAGGGCCTGGTGCATCCTGGTTTAATAATCTGCAGAGCTGGCACTCAGTGTAGTGACCTGGGCCCTGTGGTAACCACGGCTGAGGCCAAGTGAACTTCTGCACCAGCAAGAGGAAAGGGCACTGAGCCAGGAGGACAGGGCCTGGGTTCACCTTCCGGATCTGCCGCTGCATTGCCATGGGGTCTTAGGCAAGTTCCCCCACTCCCCTGAACCCCAACCCCTTCCACCGCCCACCTGAGGATGAAAACTGCAACCTCTTGGGCCTCCACAGAGGTCTGAACGAGATCCTGCCTGAAAGTGCACCCCACGCCCCTCGCACCTTAGTGGTCGAAGGTGAGCCCCAGGATTCTCAAGTGATGGTCGGGGATGCCAGAGGGAGGGTGCAGAAAGTCAGGGCTAGAAGCTAACGTTATTCTTGGTTCCTTAGTAGGTATTTCTTGGGCATCAGCTCTGTGAAGGAAAAGCCATATCTGCTCCAGGCCTGCTGTGGACCAAAAAGAGAGGACCTCAGTCTTCATGCCTGAAACGTAGGGAAGGACAGGTGGGCAAGTGAGGTAGGCTGGTGGGAGGCAGCGTCAGAGGGGCAAGCGCCTGGTGAGGTTGGTTAGGGAAGCTCCTGTCCTTTGGGCTCTGTCCTTCTCCTCCTCCTCCGCTTCCTTCTCTTTCTCCTTCTCTTCCTCTTCACCAGCACTTCTTCCACCACTGATGCCAACTTGAATTCCTCCCTTGCAGGTGCAGATGAACAAGTGGGTGAATACGCTTCTTGTTCAGGCCTTCATCCCTAGAGCAAACAGTCCCGGTGGTGAGCAGGATGCCTGCGTTTGAATTCTAGTCTCACGGCCTGCGGCCTGGCCCTGGGGATATTGTTGCTTCTCTCTCAGCTTCAGATCTCTGCATCTTCTCCATAATCTTTACCTTCAGGATAATCCTGAGGACTTAAGCAGAAATTCTGCCCGGCTCATGAGTGTTTGAACAAGTGCACTTTGCTTTTGACATCAGAGCTCATTTTGGAACCATGTTCCTGGACTAGAAGGCGGGCTTTCCTACTTCTGAGCTGTGTGGCCTTGGAAAACTTACTTAGCATCTCTGTGTCCAGTTTCCTGCATACGGTTTAATTATCTGTACTACCAGTGTTCAATGCCATGACCCTTTTCATTTTATTTTATGCTCAGAACTTCTGTAGGGTTGTTGTGAGAATTAAATAAAATATATATTCATATTATAACATAATACATATGTTTCTTAGATGATTTATTGCCGGGCATATAAAAAGCACTCTATATAAATGTTTGCTATTATTGTTGTTTAAATTCATCCAGATCATTTATTCAAGAAAGTTGAATTTAACACCTGCTCAATGCCAGGCAGTGAAAAAACCAAATTATCGCCACACTCACGGAGCTTACACTCGAGGAGGGAAACAGATACTAAATAAAATACGATGCAGGGAAAACGAGGGAGGAGGCAAGGTGCGTGGTGGTGGGACAGGTCCCTTTTGAGTCAGGCCAGCAGGTGAGGGGCACCTCCGGGTCTGACGGAAGCCCACCACAGGGCGGTCTGACAAGACCAGGGAGGTGCTCCGACCACAGGGTCCAGCCGCTTGGCCTGGATGTAAGACTGAACAACAGTTACTCCATCTTTGTAATAGGGCCCCAACTTTCTGCTTCTGTTACAGATCACCCGATAGACATCAAGTTCCAGGGACGTGCTTGTTGTTGTGCCAGGAAGGTCTGTTGTGTGCATAGTGTTCTGTCATGCTTGCCCAACTCCATATCTGAATATGTTATCTTAAGGACAATCTGTAAAAGGTCTGTTTTATCTCTCTCCTCCGCTTTTGTATTTCTGCTTGCCAACTTCCCCTGAGACCCCCTATAAAAACAGCTTCGGACTCTGAGCCAGTTGCCTCTCTAAGCTACTTGGCTTTGGGAGTGCCGTCTGGCCAGACTAATAAAGGTCTGTTTTACTTTCCATCTTGTCTGGTGTGTTCCCTCCCAGGTGTCCTTCACTGCAGTCAGCTCCTCAGAGCATTTGGTAAGGCCCTCGGTCTTACACTGGGCATCCGTCCAAGGTCACTCGGAAAGTTCCTCCCTCTCGACAGCCTGTCGGTCCCGTGACAGTGTAACTTGCGGGTGTTTTCTAAACCCTGCCTCATTCACAGGTGTGCGTGCAGAGTGCCAAGGTCCCCAGGTGACGTGGGCCAACCAGGTGTGCTGGAGGAACACAAAGGAGGCCTGGGAAGCTGGGTCAGAGCCTTGGGGGACAGCGGTAGAGGACTCAAGTGGGCCGGGGGTGTGCAGTGGTTAGGCCATCGTAACGATGCTGGCCTTTTACTTAGCATGCGGGGCAGACAATGCAGATAGTGCAAAAGCTCAGTGTCCAGTACGGACAAAAGGACCAAAGGAACTCAGGGACTCAGAGACTCGAGCTGGGGCAAGAGCACCCTTCACGCCAGAATGTGGCTCAGGGCTGGCCGGCTGTCCACCTGCCACACTCCTCCCAGCCCTCAGCTCGCTTGGTGCTCATGGAGACGCTTAGTGCCTGGTGCCAGTGTCTCATTTTACAGAAACGGACACCGAGACTTGCCGACATTAAGTATTCTGTTCAGAGTCACATGGGACTGGAACTGTGTCTGCCTGACTCCGGAGGTCTTGTTCTCTCCCCTAAAGCTCCCCTAAGGCTCTCCCTTGTGCAAGTTCTTTCTCGGGCAAGAGTGAAGGACATTAGAGCTGGCCAGTGACAGTGTACTAGCAGCCCGGGACACTGCCTATAAAACTACAAATCTCTGCATCTGGCAGTGGCAGATGACTGTAGATGTCAGCTGTCACATTATTGTCATTATTGAGGGCAGGTACCTGTGCTCTGAATCACCTACGGAATGTCCATCTAGAGGTGAGTACCCAGTGGGACCTCTTACTGTAGCCTGGGTCCCGTCTCCTCTGCCCAGAGTGGGCTGCATTTGTTAGGTTTGTCACCATGACAACCGTCTCTCATCAGAAACGTGTTCTCTTCAGTCCAACACATACACCATTGGAGAATAGATTAGGGCCAAAGAAAGGGTGGGAATAAGAAGAAAGAAATAGCAGACAGACAAATACAGAGAAAACCAGAGAGACGGAGAATGACAGAGACACAGAAAGAGACATTGGCAGTGGGTGAGCATCAGGAGTCGGTGGTAAGATGCCCCATGTCCTCTCCTCTTGGTCTTTCTGTGGAGGAAAGTGCACCCACCGAGTGGAGAATGGGAGGCTCCACGCTGCAGTTTGGACACTGCTGCAGGTGTCCCCGGAGGACTCCTGTGTCGGAGGCGGGGTCCCCAGGGTGGCAACGTGGGAGGCTGGAGGACCCTGAAGAGGAGGCTCATGGAGCTCTGCGGCCAGTGAGGGAGCAACCTTCAGCATGAATCACCGCGACTCTCAGGTGAGTCAGTTCACAAGAGCTGGACGTGGTGCTCTAACCCCTAACTCGCTCTCGGCTTCCTGTTCCCAGGTAAGATGTCTTCCCTGACTCACAGGTCCTCTGTTGTGAGGCCTTCTGCCATGAGGTCCTCACGGGGCCAAGTCAGTGCTGACTCCATGCACTTCAGTCTCCAGCACGCCAAGCTAAATAAGCCTCTGTTCTTTACAAAGTCAACCAGCTTCCGGTTCTTTGCTGTAGCATGAAAAATGGAGTCATAAGTCATTCGGAAACATTTTCTTCACTAGCTTGTTTTGAACCCTGAGTGTACTCTGCTTCCCTCTAGCCTTAGCTTCCCCATCTGTTTATGTTCTTCAAGGTCCCTTTTATTGCTAATAGTGTCCACTTATGATTCCTTGTCTGACTTTCTCTGGATCAGAGATCGCTTATTCAGAAACGTCGGGCAGCACAATGTGTCCTACAGGAGATGACACAGTCCACTCCACAGCCACGGGATGGACAACTTCACAATAAGTTAGTGGGGAGCCAACCCTCCCCTTCCAGGGTGGCTCCTTGGGCTTTCAGAAGACCAATTTCATCACAAATACCACAGTAGACACAGTAGATCTGGCTGTTTTTAGGTGGGATCAGACAGCCAGAGACCAGCCAGGGGGACTTGCAGCTGCAGGCTGAGATCTGCAAAGCCCCAGTTCCAGAGGAGAGAATTCCAAATCCGCAGGAGGTTTCTTTGAAGAGAACCCCATTTCGGTAAACGTGGGTGAATTCTCCGTCTCTCTCCCCTTCAGAATAGGCCATCTCCACGGGGAAAAACAAGGTGTCCATCCCGGACAGGCTCCTGGTGTCAGACAGGGTCAGCTTCCCGACGATTCCTGTCAATCCACGCTAGAAAGACATCGAGCTCTCCCAGAGACTTAATGGCGGCGGAAGGGATCTCCAGCTGAAACCAACGAAACCAGCATGAGCGATCCACACCCGCACAGGCAGGGCCGGCCTGCAGGTCACCCTAACCATGGGATTTTCTTTTTACTCCTCAAAATATTTATATAGCATACAATTTTTAAAAATAGTTTCCTAATAGGCAACCAAAATTTTTTTCCAGAAACAAGCAATTAAATCATGTCAGCTCCTTATAAACAAAATAAAACCTTTTCACTCTTTTTCCTCTGTTTTTTCCACAGAAATATTTGCCTTATTGGCCAGTTTTTTGCTCATTTTCCTTTCACTTCTGTTCTCCCAGAAAGTCTGAGTCACTTTGGTGGGCAGGGACAGCATGCTGTCCTGCTATGGCATGGAGAAGCACTGTAGTCCCAAGAGTCCTACCCAATATCACAGTCGGTTAATGAAAGAGCCGAAACCAGAGCACAATGCTTGACCTATCCCGCCTCCCTGCAGACCCGAAGGAGGTGGCAAGACCTAGTGGAAGCAAATCCTGCTGTCCCGCTCCCCTGCAGCATGAACTCAGTTTCCTAATTATCCAGTGCAAATAACCCTTACAGCATTAAGAAGGATTGATGTGTTCTTATCTGTATGGGGTTGGAACAGTTCCTTGTTCATAGTAAGAACTACTGGCCTCTTAGCTCTTTCTGTAACTTTCTCCAATGAGGCCTCTCTCCAAAGAGGAAACCTCTAAACAGACCCGAGCTCTTCGCTCTTCAGTGCATGGCGTCAGGAGTCAGGAGGAGTGAGGTCGGAATCCAGGCCTCACCTCAGACCTGCTGCAGCAGAGTCTGCACCTGAGCCAGTGATGCACACAGAAGGGCTGCAGCTATACCAACTCCTAGGTGCCAACCCCTACATGACGCCCTCATCAGCATGCAGGATACTGGTAGCAGTTCCAGGCTGCAAGGACACCTTGCAGGTAACGTGTTTTGCACACAGCATCTTGGGACTCACTGGAGATCTTTGCTTTCTCTGTATCACCCCGGCTTTGACACGAGCTGCTTCCCCCAAGTTAAACACAGTCAGGCCTGATATGGGCCAGCATAGGAAAACAGGGGAAGGCTGAGGGAGGAGGGTGGGGGAGGACAGGGACCTGGGTGGCCCGCAGCTAACGCTCTCAGAGAGCGAGTGACCGTGAGGGAGAGGAGGCTGGGCACTCTCCGTAGACTGCTCCCTCTCATTTTCCATCCTCCCCATGCTCTCCCCAGACTCTACCAAATCGTAGTTGTCATGGACAGTTCTGGTTGCATGGGTGGCTTCCTCGCTGTAGTGGCACCGTCTGTGCACCTGCAGTGATCCGCGGAGGCAGCACCTGTCATCAGACAACCTGCCCACCTTGGCCCACTCACGCCCCCGCCTCCCTGCTTGAGAAGTGACACTTCTCCTCCCTCCCAGTGACGGTCAGGAGAGTGAACTCAGGCTCTGGCAGCCAGGGGAAGCAAGGTCTGTTGATGGTGTCCACCTGCATTTGGACTGTGGCTTTTGCTCCTTGTGGGTTCAGAGCCCCCAGGTGGCCAGCACCAAGTGAGCAGGTCCCACTCACACCTTGTCACACTCTGAATGCAGCACCCCACGAGGCAGGCACTCTGCAAACACTTAGATCAATTAAGTGGCTAAAAGTATCCATGATTCCCTTCTGTAGTGTTGTAACTGGGGCAGGGATCGTCGTCCCTCTAACAACTTTAGCAACGGTGGCACAGGCAGGTGCAATTACTCGCCACCCAGTCACGCAGGAAATCACTGGCAGGGACAGGGCTAGAACTCACGTTCCCTCCTGGTTTAAGTCTTAGTTTTTGGTTTTGTTTCTGATGTTAGATTTTTAACAGAGCAGAATGAGTTTACAGCTGACCCTTAAGGGTGGGCTATACCAAGGGACCACCCAGAGGTTATCTGGTATGGAACCCCAAAGAGCCAGGAGCAAAAGGACTGGGGTACACTATGGTAAGCCTGGGGTGCCTGCTCACCCCGGAGGTGCTCAGGGGTTAGCAGGAGATGTCACTCCCCAGGAAAGGGGTGACCACAGGAAAAGCTTCTCGGTGGCCTCCCCACTGCAACAGGGCCAGGGATTTTGTTTGACTCCATACCACCCACCGCAAGGTCACTGGGGCCCAGCACATCTGGGCCCTGAGCAGATGCGGAATCCCCACACGCGAACTCACGCATTGCCGTAGGGTTTTCTGCATGTAGAGGAAAGAGTTGGCAATGCTGCTGATTTTTCTCAAGATCTGAGGCTTTAGCTCCTGGTGGTCCTTGAAAACCCTGTCCATGTAGAACTCCAGAAGGTTCTTGGTCACGCAGCACACATCCGTGGGCTACAGGCACAAAGCAGAGAAAATCCCAAGGGCTCTCTTCTTGGATTTCCTTACAGTCCAAAGCAGAGAACTAAAACCATTTGCTAAAACCCACTCTTCTTGTGGCAAAGCTGCACGGAAGGAAGGTGAGGAGGACAGATTCCAGTCTAGTCCTCTTATCGTATGGTCAGGAGACATTAACAGAGGCTGGGCCCAGACCCCAGTCGTAGACTGGCCTTCTTTCTACAACACACCAAGGCGTCATCGCAGAGCTCTCGTGTGTCCTCCCAGAGGACTGAGGCTCATAGGCGGCTTTCTTGAGAACTGCTTCCTTATGCCGTGGAGGCTGACGTTGGCCTCTCTCCTGTCTCTGCCCACCCACATTCCTAACTGTCGCCTGGCTGGCACTGCACAGGTGTGACAGTGCCCATCCTAGCCACCCTGCCTGTACCATGCTAGTGAGCTCTTTTCAATTCTTATTTGAACCCGGCCAAGATTTCCAAGGACGGGGACTGTGGAAACTTGTACATCTGCTAAGACCAAAGCCTGATGAACACAGATCTCTGAAGAGCTCCTAAATCCCTGAGGCATAGCCAGAGAAGCTGGCTAGACAGTTCCCCTCAGCAGTTCGCACTCTGCCTGCCCTATGGACTCTGCATTTACAGCTCAAAGTAGAGAGCAGTTCACAGCTGACAGCCAGTCCATTTCAACATTAAAGGAGCAAAGACCCTTAGGGCCCAAAGGCAGCTTTCCCGGGATGGCAGCGATTTCATACATCACGGAAAACCCTCTTTTCCTTTACTCATCGGAAAAAGTTACAGACCTCTGTGTTATCAAAGATTGTGGCACTGAAAAAGGAACACAGTCCAAACAGAAAGGGGGGGGGGAGAGAGAGAGAGAGGGAGAGAGAAGGGGGACGGGGGAAATAAAGGACTGTGAAGAAGTCGTGAGTCCTCTTCGACTCTTTGCTTGGTCCACATCAGCTATTTCTTCGCCTTGAGAGGAGAAAGAACCCGGAATCTTGGTATAACTTTGGGGGTCTATTGCTTGCTTGGCCACAACTCGTCGTTTTCCCTCCTTAAGTCTCCATTGCCTTGTAGATATACTTCAGACTCTGTCACATAAATCCCTGAAAACGAAGAACACTGGATCTTTCTAGATGCTCCCGGGATGGAAAGGGTTCACTTCAAGCACCTCTCAGGCCCCTTTGGTGAGTGAGTGACCCGCTGGCAAACCAACCATTTGGTGACACACGCGGGCACCGCCTCTCTGCACGCCCAGCCTCCCCTCCTGCAGCTCTCCTGCCTCACGTGGTCCTTGGAAGCCGTCACCAGGCCGTGTCTCAAAACCATCTGTGGTCTTGTAACTTCTGCCTGGAAAATCGTCCGTGACTCTATTGCCTCAGCTATAAACCTGAGGCTCAAACTCAGCCTGGCTTCCACGGACCTTTGCAAAGTGGCTGCAGGGCGGCTGTGCAGCTCAGCACCCCCCAGTCACCCCCTGTCCTTCACGTCACAAACCTGGCCACCACTCCCTCCCTGCTGCACATCCCAACCTTCACTGACCTCGCACACGTCCCCTGTGTCCTCCTCATGCCCTCTTCTCGCTGTTCACTCATCGGCACGCTGCCCTGCTGTTAAGTCGCTCCGTGTTTTCCCATCTCCCCGGGTCACAGAACTCCTGTTGCCTCGGAGCTCTGGGCACTCCTGTCTCTCTCCAGGGAAGGGGCACTTCTTCAGTCCCTCCCAGGGCTTTCAATCTCAGGAGCATTTCTGTCCCCAGACCCTCCGGTGACAGACAATGAGAAGGCTAGACGGTTGAGGCCACACGGAGATCAGAAAAGAGAAGGGGACAGGGTGGGGATTTCTTTCTCAGCCAGGGCCATTTTACCCACAAATAGCAAACAGACGGATACCTTAATGCTCCGCAGGATCTCCACTGTGGACAGGGTGGTGATGATTTGTAGGGTGTCCTTGGTTTGCTGTGGGGCGACACTGGACAGGCATGAGCATTGAATACTCCGTGCTCTCCTGAGGCACAGAAGAAACTTGTCTTTCAGGCTGAGACATAGGGGAGCCGTGCCCCTGCGTCCCCACTTCACCCAGCCCACACTCACCACGGCTCTTTTGATTTCCTGGAAGCTCTCCTCTAGGTGATGCATGTCCACGAAAAGTGGGCACCTCCTGAGGGCAGGGGTGTGCACGGAGCACAGGACAAGTGTGGTGCCCAGGAGCCAGAGAGAAGCACACTGTGCCTTCATACCCTGCAGAAGGGTGGACATCACCTGGCCAGCCTAGGGTAGACAGCAAGAAAACGGGAGCCTCGCAGCTGGGCTCCCCAGGGGCCTGGTGGACAGGCCTGGCAGCACCCAGAGAACGAGCCTCAAACCTCAGCACTGCATGTCTCCTCCTCTGGCCTCCTGAGTGGGTTGAATAAAAGCCCCTCTACACGCCCCCCTCCCCAGGAAGCACAGTGCAGCCCTCCGACGGTCCTGAGGAGCACATTTATATATATATCGCCCCACTGTGACTCAACATGGCTTACTTGGTCAACAGGGGTGAAGAGTACTGTTTTTAATAGATGCAGTAAGGAAAACGGGGTTCGTAATATGCCACAGGAATTAGGCAACAGATCTGAAAAACCATAAAAGCACATTTGGTTATTTATGCCCCCAAAGCAAGCAGCAGCCTTTTATTATAAAAGCCCAATGTGTATTGTTTAATATCATTTGTTTCAAGCTAACTACGCAAATTTTGCCTTCTGGAGAAGTTGGAAGAAGGAGGCACAAGACCTCCCCTAGTAATTACTTAGCCACACTGAAGAAGTAGCGAAGGCACCCGCCCTCACCCCTACCCCAGAGCTGGTGGCTTCTCATCGGCCCCTCGCTGACAGGGGACAAGAGGAACACGTTTGCAGCTCCTGGGCAGGGCCAGATCCTGCAATGCTGACTCTTCTAATTCTCTCACCCTCCTCGCCTCTGTGTCTCTGTCTCTTCCTTTGTCCACTTTAAATCGTGTTGTTGATGCACACAGAGAAAAGAGCATCAAACATCAGAGACAGCTTATTACCTTTCTCTGACTTCCCTCCACAGTAGGACGGGCTCCACAGATAGAGCTTAGGCGGAAAGGTGCATCACGGGGCAACACGTGTGACCACACTGGCCCTGTGCCCTGCATTTTCCGTGACAGCAGGGAGCCTCTCTTTTCCGGTGGTGGAGGACAGAATGAGCCACTGGCCCTCCTGACCCCCGATGACAGCCACAAATGCTCATCTGAATGTCCCCTCTCCCACCACCACTGCCCACATCCTCCTCGGATTCCTCGTCTCCTTCTCTGAGAGAGCCAAGAAACAGCAAATCCTTCCTTCTCCTTAATTCGCAATTCCCAGAGCACAGGCAGATGTATACTGAGATGTCATCTCAGGCAGGCAGTATGCTAAACAGCTTGGTTTCTCTTTATTCAATTCTTTCTTCCCCACAAAAAGAAAGAGGCCCCACTGGCAGGGACATCTATGAAGAGTCCCAGAGCTCTGCCTGCTCGCAATGCAATTCCAGACATTTTGGCCAATTCGGATAATAATAGTAGGTAGTTTCTCCCACACACAGTATATGTTGGGCCTGTGTGGAGCAAATCATGCCTAATTATCTTGCTTCGTGTTCAAAACTACCCTGTGAGGGTCCTGCTCCTTGCCCCACTGAGAAAGAGAAGTGAAGTGACCCGCCAGGGCAGGACTCGAAGGGGAGCTGCAGCCCCGGAGCCCCCTGGCCTCTGCTTCTCAGCTGCAGACCCTGGCCACTCCCCTTGCACCAGATTCACAGGAACCCATTTCTGACCGAGTCCCACTGAACCATGGTAGCGCCTTGGTTTAAAAGGATATCTAAGCCAAGTGTGGTGCTGCGTGCCTGTGATCCCAGCTACTTAGGAGGCCGAGGCAGGAGACTTACAAGTTCAAGGCCAGCCTGGGCAACTTAGCAAGACTGTCTCAAAATAAAACTGTAAAAAGGGCTGGGGATGTAGCTCAATGGTAGAGAGTCCCGGGGTTTCAACCCCCAGTTCTGAAAACTAAAGTATTTACTACCTAACAAAAATTTTTAAAGACACACTATAAATTTTCCAGCGCAGTTCCTAGAATGGAAAGCAATAGCGAAGACATTTGTTTCCTTCCCCTTCCTTTCTTTTCCTTCCCAGAAGGCTCACTCCCCGCACAGCGTACCCCTGCCCATTCTGCAGGAGACCCCACGCCTGGGGCACCCTGGGCCCCGCACAGTGACGCAGTCACCCTCGGCACCTGTGATGGAGAAGGGATGGGACTGCAAGGGCCCCGGAGGAGCCTGGCGACCTCACCTCCCACTGCGATCCTGCCAGCTGCCCCCACGTCTCCCCTCTGAGTGCTCTTCGCCATTGGAAGAGCTGTCATTTTTATGCAAGTGGCTCACAGGAAATGCTGTCAAGGTTTACAGGGTGGGTCTCCTTTTGGGAGACTGTTTCCCCTCAGTTTTTCACATTTCATTTCCTTAATTATTTTCTTTTTCTTCTTCTTCTTTGCTATGTATCTGACTAATCATTTTTAAGAAATGCCTCTTTCTCTTGACACACAGTTTCTGGGAAAAATGAACTTCCCATCACTACGCAAATGAGGATTTCTTTGCAATTCTGCGTCCATACAGAACAATCTAAGCTGGGTCACCTTCCTGAGAGCTGCAGCAGGCCGCCAACTGCACCCTGAGAGCAGGCTCTCCTTCCCAGCAGCCGGCCTGAGGGGACTCTGCCTCTGGCCCGGGCACAAGCCATCCCTCGATGTCCGATACACTGGGTGAGAACCTCGCTCGAGCCAGGCATGAGCTCAAAGCTTCGCATGCATCATTACTTAACTTCACAGGAAATTGTTTTTCCCTTCTGTGTGCAAAGATTTTCTTTTTTTTTTCTTTTGCACATTACCTCTTTTGCCTTTATCTTGTCTCTTCAAGGATCCGTTCATTCCTGATTAACGCAGAGAGAAAGCGAGACTCAGAAGAGGGGCTTAACAGCAATTACTGTCAAGGCTGAGAGCAGAACCTGGGATCATTGCCCTCGGGCTAGAAGACCCTTTATCTAAATTACTTTTTTATACAAACTCTCCACCATGAAGTGTCAGGGGATGGGAAGATGGGATATAAACCGTTTTCTCCCCAAACATGAATTCCCAGAATAAATGAAGCTCATGTTCACCTCGTGAAGCAGTTCTGGGGTGGGGTGCAATTGCAGTGACCCCACTGGGCTGAACAGATGCGGCACCTGCAGCCAGACTAGAAGGAAGGGGAAGGGGGAGCAGGGACCGTATGGGTGGGTGCAGGAGGAGGAAAGCTGTGGCGCTGGAACCCTTGCTGCCCAGCATCTTGGCCTAATGGAACAATACATTTCAAGGAAGCAGTGGGTACAGCGGATCACAGTGTAGCCCAGGCTCTCCCACTGGATGAGCTGCCGAAGACCTGCAGCTCCACAGCACAGGTGAAATAATGTGAGGACCCAAACGAGCTAAGGGCCTGACCTGCATCATGCGAGTCCTCCTTACAAATACTGTTTGCCCTTAGGTTGTGCACGAGGGAAAGGAGAACCCGCCTGCAGTAAGAGCTGGTGGTATCCCTCTGCTCCTTCTGGAGGTGTAAGGAGCAGCTCAGCACTCCAGGCACCTCCAGCCCCAGCCCTGTCCCCTGGGTGGGAGCAGGTGGGCAGGAAGACGCTGTCCTACAGCATAGCCGGGGCTCCCTGGCCCAGAGCGCAGCCCCACACGTGAGGGTTCATTTCCTCCTGCTCAGGCTGCGTGTCCTGGGTCAGCTTCACTCCAGGGCCAGATGTCAAATCAAGAAGTTGGCAGGGGAAGGGAAAATGGGAAGGCTTTATAGCTCCCAGTCCAGCACGCAGAGTATCCGGGGCTCTGCTCAGACTGAAGGCGAGCAGCTCGGCCTCCGTGCTGTCATGTCACCTGTAAGAAGGTGCAGATGCTGCCCGTGACTGCTCACCCTGCAGGCACGGCACAAGGATGGAGCGCTTCAGTGTGAGCCTTCAGCATTGCGCCTGACACATCAGAAACAATGCAAAAAGGATATGCTCTGTCATTAATTTTACGGCCCCTTTTTGAGCCCTTAAATTGAGAGGAAAAAGAAAGAGTAAGAAATTATTTCTTTCTATTCTAAGGCTTACTGGCTAACAATATAAAAAATTCAAATAGAAGTGGAGTTGGAAGGACAGCCCTGCCGGGATCACAGGCAAAATGCGGATGAGGCCCATAGACACAGGTGGCAGCCAGCCTTAGAGCTGCACTTCTAGAACCACTGGACCCCCATTGGGTACCAGAGCCCAGTTACCCATTAGTTAAATGGGGAAGCAGAGCGAGTGTAAAGGGACTAGAGGGGCAGAGTGGAGAAGCCTCCGAGTTTGACACAGGCCAGACAGAGGTCTCAGGGCCCTCCGCTCTCCGACCTCCCCCCCGTGTCCCCTCCAACTTAGTGAATGACTCAGAGCTCCCTGCGCAACTGTCAGAAAAAGAGAGGGGACTTCTCCCTCCCAGGTGCAAGCCCTGCAGCCCAGAAAGACGCACACCTAACTCCACAGGTGTCTTCTCTGGGAACGCGGCTCCACGGATCCGAGCAACGTGAGCCCGGCTGCAAGATCGGGGTGAAATGGATCAGGGCCGTGGGAATAGTTTAAGTTAGACTGGAGGAAGAATCCATTATGAGGCCTGCAAAGACTGTGACAGAGGAATGCGTAAAGGACGTACTGATGACACTGATGGGCAAGTTTTCATCGGAGAAGTAAATAGTCTCAAAAGCAGACAGAGTATCAAGGGCCCTGGTAAATATACCTCCATCATAAGGATACGGTTTGAATTATGTATGTACCCTTGAAAATAAAGCAAAAAAAAGTTAAAAAGATAAGTTTTCCGTTTCTGAGAAACTCAAACCTAGAAGTGTTTCTCTTCTATTGGGGATTTAGACATAAGTCAGAAAAGGTAGGAGAAAGCACACAGTTCGGCCTCCTCACACACCAAGGCAGGGGGATGAGGGGAGCCAGGAAGCACACAGCCGTTCTCAAACCTCACCCCCAGTGCACACTACCCTCTCACCCCAGGGCCGGGAAGGGAAGGGAACCGCAGGCCTCTCATCAGGGAGGTGATGTCCCTCACCCAGGACAGGCTGCTCTGACTTGTGCTTCCCCGGGAAGCCAACAACCTAAGGAAAAGACACGCCCGGCTCCTGTGCTAGGGAGAGAGAAGCACAAATCC